AGAGAGAGAGAGAGAGAGAGAGAGAGAGAGAGAGAGAGAGAGAGAGAGAGACTAGAGTGTCCAAATGGAGCCTTTCGATAATAACAATACATGTATTAGAGAAACTCGTGTTTCAACTCCCAGAACTTGACGGACGCCACGTTGGAAGAGTGGAAAGACAGAGGTACTGGAGGGGAGGTAGACAATCAGGTCAGAAGTTGTTGGGTGTTTGTGAGTGTCTTTTTTTTTTTTTTTTTTGGTTATTTCCTTATACTGATAATCAGGCCAGTTGTTTGTTGTTGTTTTTTAAAATCAGTTTTGACTAAAAGAGATGATCTGGTAAGATGTTTGTGTATGGCTGTTATTTTGATTATTGTTTCGGGTAGATAATCTGGTGAGATCTTTGTGTATGTCTGTTGTCTCTGTTGGACTTACTTTACTTTACTTTACTTCCGATCCAGCGACCATTTGAGCTCTAGCCCTTCTCTGAGGGACAAATGAGACATTTCGCTTTCTCAGAATTACAAAGTTCTATCTGACATTTTCTGGCTTTTTTGTGTGTTACTAAGACCGTGGCTCTATCAAAATTGTAGGGTTATTCGGAGTCGTTATCAAGATATTCAAAGATTGGTTGTTCTGAGTGAAGTTCAAAAGCTGGGACATTCTTAGTTCTAAAATGCCTTTAGGTCTAGCTAACTTTAGCTTTCATCTGCAACTTTCATTACTCACAAATTCATGTCGCTTCCTCAGAATTACAAAGTTCTATCTGCCCTCTTTCAATACCTTGAGAACGACTCTGAATAATCTTGCGATTTTGAAGGAGCAGCTAGAACATTTGGTTTTCTGACCTCATGGGCTAAGTAACTCAAAACAGCCAAAAATGTAAGAACTTTGTAATTCTATACTAACGTTGCTGTAAAACTCAAAATGTTTTACTTCAAATTTCTCAAAACTAGGTACTAAGCAGATAGAACTTTATAATACTTGGGTAGTGGTTTGTGAGTGTCTGTTATTTTTTTACTTTTGACTTAAACTGATAATCTGGTGAGATGTTTGTATTGTTTCTGTTATTTTGATTATTGTCTGAGAAGGTGAAATCAGGCGCTCGTCAAGTTTTGGGCACGTGGAGTTATTGGTATCATCTGAAAGCTTTTTCATTTGCCTTGCTTTGAAAGAAAAAAATACCCATCTCCTTGAAAAAAAAGTCAAGATATTTGCGACTGAATAAGATGGGGTCACCTGGATTCCGAGGTTAAATTAGACAGAAAATGGCAGCCAAACTTTGGTAATTTCAATTGCTTGAGAGTCCTTCAAAACTGGAAAATTAATATTTTGTACCTTTATCCAAGTTTTGCAGTTTTAAAAAAAATACAAGGAAATGACTTTTTATATTGACATAAAAGGTATTGAGAAAAAAAAATTCCAATAAAAATTACCAAACTGGTGAAAAAAAGGATGTTTTTTCGATTTCATCATTTTGACGAGCATCTGGTTTCACCACGATGCCTCCCTTATTGTTTTGAACTGCATGTAGAACTTCAACAGTTGCGACATCTGTAGTGTATAAGTTAGGTGTTCCGCAATCGTGCGCGGAAGAACTGGGTTCGATTCCCGAATGGGGATAGGTTTTTTTGTCAAGTATTTCGGTCTTTTTTAATTTCCTTCGTGACCCTCTCCTCTGGGATTGGCCTCGACGAGCAGGTCGAATCTCTGCTCCAGGATAAGCTAAATTGTGTCGAGATCTCTGGGTTTCAATTTTTAAAATTTTTTTTTTTTTT